GGTAGGGTTAGGGTTAGAAAAAGGAGGTGTCCTGGCATGGTATCGATGGTTGGATTGTGTTTAGAATGGGCAGAAATGATGAGCTGCGCAGAAAATGCTACTCAAGGAAGGCTTTTTCAAGATCACCCTCTTTTCAATGGAACTTTAGCCCTGTAGTAGTGTTAGGGTTGTGCACCAGGGTCGTGTTAGGGTTAGATGGCTTTTATTCTCTGTCCATCTGATCTCTGCCTCTGGAGTTGGGAAGCAAGACAGGAGATTTCTTTAAATGTACCTCTGCCAACCCCTGGCCAAGCAACCCGGTGCTCTCTGGAGGTTTTGGACTAGGACTCCCATCAGCCCCAGCTCGCATTGCCAATGGTTGTGGCTGATCCCTGCTGTGGTCAGGAGGACACCGGGCTGCTTTCCTGGCGTCATGGGTAGGCCTGGTTGGGAATCCGCTGAGGTTCCACGCCCCAGCAGGGTCCACTGGCAAAAGCCCCCTGCACTTCCTCCTCCTCGCTCGCCTTTCAACTGGCTTGTCCACTTGCGGGGAGGAGAAGTGGGAGAAGCCGCCTCTGCCTTGCCCACCGCCCTGTTGAGCAAGGTGGCTGGAGCCCCGGCAGGGAAGAGGGTGAGGAGCAGAGCAGTCGCTGACAACGGTGGTGAGGGGCTCAGGGTGGGAGGGGGCCCCCCAGAGCCTGCTGTGGGCACAGTCAGGTCTCGCGTCCCCCAGGCCCAGCGGTGCTCACCTTGCCCTGCGCCTCATGTATGGCGGCCACGATGCTGGGCAGCTCTTCGGACAGCACCGTGTGCAGCGTGGCTCTCCGTTCGCTGTCTTTCTTCAGCAAGAACAAGCAGCTGCTCTCCTCGTGGGAGGAAGCAGAGAGACTGAGGTCCACATTGGTCGGCTCCTCCGGAGGCCTGGGCAGACACACAGGGGAAGGGGGTTGGATCCGAGAGGAACCACAGCGGGAGGAAGTCATGTCCACACAGGGACCGACCGTAAGGGACGGCGGCACAAATCAGGGGTTGACGGGGTGGGCAGAAAGTATTAGCTCCATATTGTTTGGACCTCAGCTCCCAGGATTCCTGATTGTTGGTCATGCTGGCAGCGGGGCTTCTGGAGCCGAAGGTCCAAACATCTGGAGATCTATCCTGCCCATCCTGTGTTAGACAGTCAGGCTGTTTACCTCTCCAGAACAGATGCAGAGCGCATGGTCTAGTTCTTAAGAGCCCTCCTTCCTGCTATGCTAAGGCACCGATCCAGGCCAGTGGTGCACCCGGGTGAGGAAGCTTGACTGCTTTTACAGAAGTTTGGTTTTTATGGCTAAAATCATGAGGGAACGCTATTCATTAATGCTAGTAATTAGTGACTGTATCATGCTTTTTAAAAAGGAGTGCCGGTCATATGCATTATCTCAGACATAACAGTCCCAGGGCTTTGCCCCTGCAATGACAAAAGGCTGTCGGCAGGTGGCGGTCAAGCCCTTTCTTATTCTGCTCGCGTGAATTATTCAGCCTGGGTGCAGAGAAGAACTCATAATAAGGCTGAAGTTGGGGCACAGACTGTGGCTTCTGGGTTGCCCTTCTCGACCGTTTTTATTTCTGGCCACTGTTGCCTGGGCTCACTTTCTTGAGTTATTTGCTCTGCACACACTTTTAATGCTAGGTTGATGTGACAGAATCATTCATCTGATTGGTGTTAGGTTGATTTGTAGCACCCTAATCTAATGTGTGAATATTTAGCTTCATAGATTTCTCTACTGCCCAAAGAGCTTCAGCTGCTTGGCAGCTAATTAAGTAAACAAGTAATACATAAAGTACTGTTGTCGATATTAAAAGTACGTCTAAGCAGTTTGTAAGAAATAAAAACATTAAACTCCATTATGATATGTATTCAAATGCAATCAAAATACATCATGGTATTTAAAACATCAATACAAGTATTAAAATTTAAACCACTTTGACACAGCATTACAAATAAACTGACCACAACTCTGTGAAGAAACTTAGGAAGAGTGATTGGCCAAAAGTCACCCAGCGAACTCAATGGCTGAGTAGAGATTTGAACCTGGGTTTTCTTAATCTAACATTCTAACACCTTAGGGCCCTCTCCTCTCCTCTCCCTCTTTGCTACTGAATCTCTACAAAACATTAAAAGCATTTAAATCTATTACGATATACATTAAAATGTAATCCAAATGCATTGATTGCATGAAATTAGGCTGAAGGCCATGTGCATTGCATTCAGGTTTATCCAAAAAAATCCAAGATGGTAAGCCACAAACTGGCTTGTTCAGACAAAACCATTGATCTCTTCTCTTGGCCAAGAATTAAATTTGCTTCAGGTGTATATCAAAGGCCCAGTCACAAAGTGACTCATACTCCTGCTAATGAACCTGTTAAGTTATCCACATGCCACATAAGGGGTTTCTGCCTTACCGCAGGAAGTTGTTTTTCTGGACTATTTCACTGGTACTCCGAGCTAGAAATATGTTCTCTGTTGGTGGCCTTAAAGACTGCAAAGATGAGGAGCGGTTCCTGGCCTCACCAACACAGTCCACAGAAACCGACCGTTCAGGTGTGTTTGATGGCGACAATGTATCTGTAGAAAAAAGAGAACGAATTGCAAGAGGGCTGTCAAAGAAAGGGAGGATCCATAGTCCAAACCCAGCCTGGTATGGCTCCCTGATTGGTTCACCACCTCACCTGGCATTACTGGGCTCCTGGATTTTTTCCGACTGGAGGCCTTCAGAAAGGGCTCCTGAAGCAAGGCAGCTGCAGTTGCCCGCTTGTCTGGATTGGCTTCAAAACAACTCAGGATGAAGGCCTTGGCTTCCTCTGACATGGAACTGGGCACCTCAGGGTGGATCTTGAACATGCCCACCTGAGAAAAGACACACAACGTGAGGTAATACTTTGCTTTAACAAGTATGCCTGACTTGTTGCTAGGTGGGCCTAGACAGACTGACTTGCCTGGAAAGCTAGGAACAATTGCCAACCCTTTTGGTTTGCAAGGATCCAAGCAAGCCAAGAATACCCAGGTGTTCTCCCCAGCCTCACCTTGAACATGGCGGCCTGTGGGCTGCCCAGCTCGAAGAAAGGTGGCTTGCCTGTAGCCATCTCAATGATGGTGCAGCCCAGGGACCAGATGTCAGCCGGCTTGCCATAGCCACGGGGGCCTTGATCAATGACCTCTGGGGCCATGTACTGCAGGGTGCCTGAGGAAAGGCGAGAGAAGCCGGAACAGGTCATGGGAACGGAGGGCAACACACTACGTACCAGCTGGGGCAGGGCAGGTCTCTCCCAAGCCATGCCTCCTCCCCTTCTGGCTAGCCCTCATTTACCCATTCCCAGAATAGCTTTGACACCCCTGATTTGAACTTAAATGGTCTTTAGGCAGTAAATCTATCTCTTATCAGCCTGGCAAGAGGCTGAATCCTCAGCTTCAACAACTGTTTCTCCGGATCTACCTGGATTCACAGAAAGAGACAGATTTCTTTTAAAATGAAAAACAAAATGAAAAAACAATCCATTGAAGAGTAGTGGCTTTAGACAGCTGCAAGCTATGGGAGGGGTGGGCCCCCGTGGGGGAGCTGGCAACACACTGCCCGCAATCCCCACCCCACCTCACCCTTCATTGTCTCCACCAATCTGGGCAGGGTCAGCAATAAACAAACACACAAACTCACTCCTTGGTGAGTGATGCGTACATTAATTCATCCTGACTAAGTAGCATTTATTCACCAGAGACAGGGAGCAGAGAATTTAAAGTTTGCAGAAAAATCAGGTTGCTTTGAATGGTAAAAGGATGGGTTCAGCATTGGTTATTTCACTTGGTGGTGAGAAAATGTTTTACTATTTATTTATTTCCATTTCTATGCTGCCCCATAACCTGAAGGTTATGGCAATTAGATTGGCAATTTTGGTTTGTGACACTGCAAATCAGATGCATTTTCAGCTTTGTGCATGGGCAGGTTCAGTGTAAAATAGCTTAACATGCAGACCATTTAGTAATAGGTTGCAGTCTGCCGTATTTCAAAATTAATCAGATTAATTGATACTTTCAGTACACTTTCAAGTAATACTATTAAGTGGACAAAATCTGAATTAAGGATTGTTGGTAGCTTCAGTTTAATCAAAGTAGTCCTAATTGCAATTTTATTGGTACCTAGAAGCAATAAAGTATCTTGGGACATGGAATTTTCTACATCTAGAACCATTTTACAAATGGTTAACTGAATGCAAGCACATAACTGCCAGAAATATCTCTTAGGCATCTCTTAATTCAAGCACAGGTTGAATCTCTTGTCAGAGGTAATTTATGTTTTTCACAGTATTTCTTTATATGTTTCTCAATTCTAAAACCTTTACGCATTTTTCCAGACGTCTACTGCAGGGCAGTGGGGGGTCTCCCCTATTAAAGAAACAGGATTTAATTTCCCAGATCTTATTTGGGTCATGCAGCATGTGTTAACCTGTACTAATGCTTGGAAAACTACTTTTCCTTTCATACTTTTCTATAGGCTGTTTTGGAGTCAAATTATTTGGTACCCAGCTGGCTGGACTGGGTCTAGGAATGCCTCCACTAACATTACTAACAGGAAGGCATAAAGTGTTGCTATTTTTAACAATCATTACCAAAAACTACAAGAAAGGATGCGAGATGGGGGGACACAAACTGCTGGCAGATGGTCAAGGAAGGCATAACTCCCCCTACCAAATATAAGCTTTGGACACATGTAGCTTCATGCTGGCAACACTGCAGCTATTTGGCCTCTTAACTGAATCAGTGTTTCTCAGACAAGAACGTTCTTTAAAAACGCAATACTGTGTTCTCTCTTTTGGTCTATAGCCTGGACATCCATAGATCAGAAAAGAAGGGTCCCAGACACAAGACGAGGGCCAGATCCCATACCTGGCATCTCCAGAGGGTCTCACAGAGGCAGGGCTGGGAGACTCCTCCACCCGAGACCCTCTGTCCACAGCTGCCCGGCCTCTGGCCAGGTACAAGTCACGGGTTTGTAATTCTAGTCCATTAGTTTCTATCATTCTAGTTTCTAAAACACGTCAAAAATATACCCACACCTGTACACATACAAACAAGTGCACACAGACAAGCCCTTACCTGTGAATGTCTCTGCGCTGGGACTGATACCTGCTAACCTCTTGGAGGTGCCGAAGTCTGAAATTTTTAAGACTCCACTGTATGTGTTGATCAAGACGTTATCTCCCTGTCAACCCAGAAAGTGCCAGTCACTACTTTGGGGACCCAGAAGTTACTCAGGAGTTCAGGTTTCCTCCATCTCCACAGCAACCAAAAATGAGAAGAGCCGACACTCCCCCTCCATCCCTCCCAAAGGGTCCAAAGGCTCCGAAATGTTGCCATAATCTATAGATGGGGCTTGCAACGAAATGTTGCAGCATGGAGCAAGCCTGTTCAGCCGTGACTGCCCTTCAATGCCTCCCCCTCCCCCTGCCATTTTCTGGTCTCTCCTCCACCCCAGTCTCTCTGAAGGCTTAGTTACGCACAATAAGCGCTTCACGCCACATGCTGGCGTTTGTTAATGCTAAGTTCTGCTCTCTTTTGCCTTTGTTCTGGAATGCCACTCTGCAAAATTGAGTTAGACCCTCAAGCCAAAAGGACTACAAAAAACAAAACCCATTTGGGGGTTTACTTCCGTTGATAATTATGCTATTGAATTGCAATGCTCCTGAATTTCACCTTCTTGACACATGGGAGAAACAGTAGATTTCGGCTACTTCTCCCTTCCTGAGACTTTGCGTGTCCTTTTGCTTCTGCCTGCCCTGCTCCTGCCAGAGGTGGCACCCATGCAGGTAAAAGTTTGCAGCCCAGGGCAGGGCAGCTCTTACCTTGATATCCCGATGGACAATCTGGTTGTCATGCAGGTAACGGAGCCCCTCCAGAATTTGCTTGGTGTAGTAGACAATGGTTGACTCATTGTCTTTCAAAGGTCCCCACCAGGAGCGCAGGAGAGAAGAGAGGCTTCCTACAGGGGGTCAGGAGAATGAGACACGGCAGTGCAGATGTCGCGAGGAGCATAATCCCTGGAAAGACGACCCCGGAGCCATCGCCTGTCCGCTGTGAACAAGTGACTCGCCATTCGCGGAGTCCAGGGTTGGCACCAGCAGTAGGCATGCCTGGGCATCTGCCAACTGAACAGGGGCCCGCTGTCACCAGCCTCTTGGAGAAGCGCTTCCTTATCTCCACTGCCACCTGCTTGTCCATCTGCCTCTTGTTCTGGCCCAGACAATGGTGGTGATGAGGAGGAGGAGGAGGAGGAGCAGAAAATGCCCTGCCCCCGCTGTCCAACAGCCCTCTGCTTGTCAAGCAAATGGTAGCAAAAATGAGGAGGGGGATGGGGACCACAGCAGTGAGATGGGTGGGCTCACCGAGCGAAGGGGCCCACGGAAGATGCCTTGCCCAAGGGCTCTCCAAGCCTGGAGCGAGCCCTGAGTCAGCCTATCTGCACATCTGGTTTGGTTCTCCAACTGGCAGCAGGTTGGATGGCTGGGGATAGGGGAGAATTTAGTTTCGGTGCATATATAAAAATTTACCCAAATGCACATTTTTCTGGTATTTTCAGTTTGAATAGGGGAGAAACCAAAACTGACACTCATTCATCAAGGCCTGCAAATGCTTAAGTTCCTAGAAGTCTGAATTAAAACCGCCACTTCTTGCTTCTGACAGATTTCTTATCTTTTAACAGCTGTTCAATGGACAGGTACAACACGCATGTTTTCTCACTGTGTGTACCTATTTCTATTAAATTTGGCCAGTACAGATGGATAACAATTAGGGTTCAAAACCACCAGATTTGCTCTCCCCTGTTTCTGTATTGTCCCATAAGAAAAAACGATCCAGTTACATCTACTTCCAAGGGCCCCTTTCTTTGGAAGGTGTCCAAGGCAAAACTCGCGTCTGCGGTGGATTAGCATCTAATCCCAAATCAATTTCACTTGACAGAGAATTTCACTTCCTCACACATTCAGTAATTTTGTTTGCTTGTTTATTTTAACAGTTCTTATGTCCCATTTTTCATTAATAAATCATACCCAAGGCAGCTTCGAAACAAATGTGCATTTGCAAGCAAATTAAAATGTAATGCTAGCAACAAACAAGCAAGCAAGCACACGGATTAGCAAACAGCAGTTTCATTGTGGGCGTTTTAATTCTAGGGGCCTTGTCCAGATGAGACACCTCACTTTGGATCTGAGGATCGTTTGGAAGAAATGAAATTACTTGTGTCCAAGATGACTTATGGTTTATTGCGTACAGTGATGAAATATGGATGCAGAATATAAACAAGCAAAAGAAAGCTTACACTTCTCTTTCCTGTGAATGCACTGGTTCTCTGTATAGGCCAGGGGATGCTTTGTGACCCGCTAAGGTTGCCTGGGCTAGTGACTCATCAGTTCCTCTCCCCAGGCTGAGAACAAAAAACAATGGCTCTTGCTACGGATTTTATAAAGTTTTCTGTCTCACTGCTGCAGTCTGTCAGTATGCACAGCTCCAGTCCCCGTCTCCCAAGAGTTAGAAGAAGTAAAGCTAGCTTTAGTAAAGCAAAAGCTTTGCTGAGGTACAGAATGACGGGAAAGGCAGCCAGCTTTAACACGCTTACTTCTGGGACTCTTCCTAACAAGCTGAAGGCCCAAGTTTTTAGCATTCGTTCAAGAAACTGTTTTGGCTCCTGGATACTGAGAAATTTCACCATACTGCCTACTGAAGTAACCTCCTTGCCATTATTTTGGTGGAACTTATACAATGCAACAGGCTCTAAGTCAGGACTGTGGGTCCTCTTTCAACCTGAGGGCTGGATTCAGTTTTGCAGATGCTCTTGGGGATGTCATTCCAGTGGTGGGTGGAGCCAAAGGCAAAGGGGTGGGGCCAAATAAAACCCAATCAAACATGAAACACCTCACGTGTTGTAGTGTAAAGTTTCTACTGCTAGTAAGGAAGGCTTAGGAGAGGCACTTCAGCAAAAGCCTTTAGACAGGGGAGAGAGTCATGACTGGAGTCACATTGAGCCCTCTGGTTTGAGGCTTCTTACTGCTACTCGAAGTGGATGATGCTCACTGAGAGGGAAAAGAGAACAGTCTTAAAAGTGGACAAGGAAGAAGCCAAATGAGCTTCCGCTGGAAGGCCATTTTGTAGTTTAGGTACCACCACTGAAAAGATTCTTTCTTGACCCCATCCACCACACATCATCTTGTGCTGAGAAGGCCAGAAGGACAGTTCATAAAACGGAATTCAGGTCTCAAGCAGGTTCATACAAGAAAAAGCTGTTCCCAAGAAACCTGGTCCCAGACCATTTAGGGTTTTTAAAGGCCAGTAGTAGGACCCTGGATTTGAACCTGATAACAAATAGGTAAACAGTGAAGTGAGAAAACCGGCGGTAATATTGTTTGTCCTGCTGACTACAGACAAACAAGTCTAGCCAAACATTCTGAATCAATTCTAGACCATCTCCAAGGCACATCGATATGTGTGGACAAAGATAGATCTGGTTATTCAGAAGAGCGTAACGAAACAATTTAACTCGGTTTACAGAAACTGGCGCAGTCAAGGCTCACCAGGAACAGGGACAGGTGAAGAATCTGTTCAGGAAATAGAAATCCCTTGTTTCACCCCGATTCCAGGTTGCCACCAGGCGCTGGTGCTGGCCGCATGATTGAGCCCGTTCATGGGCTACCATCTCTAAGATGGATCATGATTTCCCTAATTTTTTCAAAGCACCCATATAATTTTTGCGAGATGGCACAGGGAAAGCACAGGATTTTAATACGACTAAGCACTGTTTGTGCAAATAGCCTTAATGCCATTTGTGGAATTAGTGCTAGTTACACAAACGTCATGCGCTTTCCCAGTACTGCTCTGCAAAAATTCTGTGGGTGGTTTGAAAAAAATGACACATATCACTGTCTAACCAGCAGGAGTCCATGCAAAACATCTGCCTTTGCCTGCTTCTGATCCCTGGATTGGAAGAGAAACCGACCTCCAGTGAGCCAGCTTTCCCTATTTCAGCACATCCCTAACCAAGATCCAACCCAATTTCAGGAAGGCATCTTCTTGCACTTACCCCCAGGGACCTCCTCCATGAAGATCTTGAGGAACCCGTCTTGACTGACAGAGCCCAGATAGCGGACAATGTTCTTGTGCTTCAGACGCTTGTGAAGAGCGATCTCTTCGTGCAGGGGCTGCGAGAATCTGAGGAGCAGGTGTGGAAAGGCGTGAGGGAGACACTCACCATGGGGCCAAAGACCAGGGCCCCACGTGCTGGGGGGAACACCCACAATGCTGCAGGTGATGAGGCAGCAGGAGCAAACTTTGTTTAATTCCTCTTCTCATGAGGATGGCATGATTTAAGTGAGTTTAAAGTGCAAACTCCACACATCCAGAGTATTTTTATTTAGAATCAGGCCAGGTGAACAGCTTTGTTTTGTTCTAATATATGGTCAGTGCAGATGCAGTTAAAATGCAGAAGGGTGGTTGGGGGATGAAGACAAATATTTGCTGAGAGCATCCTGGTGCCATCTAAGGGGCTGCTGAGCTTCTGGAATTTTCTTCCACAGTGGCCAAAACAATTTGATGACCGTTGAGTACTATGTACCTCGAAGGAGGCCTGGGGGAACCATCTGCAGCTTTGCCCCAGATGGTGAAACATCTTGGTTTTCCTCGTCTGATGGATCCTGTCAAGGAAGACTGTGGGGACGGGGAGGGCCAATGTCATGATTTCCCAAACCTCCCCCTACGTTCTGCCTCTGCAAAAACCTCCCAGAGCTCTCTTCTCTTTCTCCACAGGAAAGAAGATCCGACACCTGCAGAGCAGTCCAGCCAGCCCCCTCCCACCACCCACCACTTCTTACCTGCTGTCCCGCTCTGGGATCTCCTTAATGGCGATGCGCACCTGGTTGCTGAGATCTCGGCCAGCGTAGACCACCCCATAGGTGCCTTTGCCCAGAATCACCCTGTCACCAGATTCTGTGTATTCATAGTCATACTGCGTGAGCCAAAGCACATGGAGTTAGGGAACCAGATGGCCTTGTCATAGAATCATAGAATAGTAGAGTTGGAAGGGACCCTGAAGGCCATCCAGTCCACCCCCTACTGTTGCAGACACCAAGTCACACCATCCCACTCAGATGGCGCTCCAGCTTCTTTGTGTGGGAGAGCCCACCACCTCTCTAGGCAGCTGGATCCACCGTTCCAGTATTCATGAGAAACTCTGAAGTTTGCAGGGCAGGACAAGTGGCAACCGGCTCTCTCCTTGCGACCACCTCCCAGAACCCGCCACCTGAGGCAACTGCAGAAGAGTAGGGCTGGCCCAGTCGGAAAACACTTTGGGAAGGACCCCTCCATGCAACACGCCGTTTTGCTCTCCCTATGCTGGAAGCTGGCCATTTGCAATGCCCTTTCTCACAGCTGTTCTCCACTAGATCCCGAGTGAGTCGGGACCAAGTCGCATTCCTAAGCAAAGCCGCACCCTCTCCCACAACATACCTCTAGCTCCTCCAGAGAGCTGCAGCTGTTCCCTTCTTCACCCACCTCTGCCATGAAAGAGTGGACCAGTTCACAAAACCTAAGTTACAGGATGAAGGAGGAAGGAAAACCTAAGCGAACTGACCCCAAGGCACATAAACATCTTCTTTGCATTGGTTCAGCACTGAAGGCTGAAACTCCACACTCCAAGAGATGTGGGCAAGGAAAAGAGTGACTTAACCAAGGAAAATGTGGAAAAAATAGGCATCTTAAATTTGAAGAGGAAAGCAGGTGAGGGTTCAAACTAATACAGCAATGCACAGGAGACTGGGGGAAATATTAGGGCAGAAGAAACTTTGGCCCTCCAGATGCTGTTGAACTTCAACTCCCATCATCCCTGGTCACTGGACATGTTGGTTGGGTCTGAGATATGGGGGCCAATAACATCTGCAAGACCAAAGATTTCCCACGCCTGACTTAGGATCAGAGCTGCATATCTGTTGCTTCTGATTTGCATTAAAAGCCCGTCCTAATATGTTTGTTTTCCTTGAATGCTGTGGATGGCAGACTATAGTCAGCAGGAATGCGGAATCTATCCTGACAGTTTTGACACTGCTTAAACCTGACCCTCAGGCAAGCACTGCAGTCCCAAGTTTAGATGCTTATTTAAGTACATGGACTGCTTATATCAGTACACACAAGAAACTGAGGTGTCCAGTCCTTGTTTCTTCTTGTGTTTTATCCATCTCCTACCTTCTCCCCTTTTCTCTATCAAGAGGGAGGTTAATCATTACTGTAAGTAGATACATTTCATGATATAATTTCCTACTTTTTCATGGTTGTTGCTAATGTTATTCAGATGCTTCAAATAAAAGATTTTTTAAAACAATGTTCAAAGTAAATCCCGCAGAAAATCAATGGGATTTCCTTCCGTGTAAATGCACTGAATTCTAGGATACTAGAAATCGATCTGAGCATCCTTCTATTTACTTCTGTATCCTTGACTTGTCTTGAATCCATTTTCAGATCCCATTCTATGACTGTGAGGACTAGCAACTAGATAATAATTTTAAAATAAACTCCCCAAATTATCAGAACACTGCCAAGAACTCTCAAGGGCTTTCATTCTATATTGCCTGGAAGACTCATGGAGTAGAGAGGCAATCAAAAAATATTCAAGAGAAATAAATAGCTGTTAACTGCAACTTTCTCTGTCTCAACCCTAGACAACACTATCCACCTAATAAGGGAATAAACATCGAATTATGGACATGTGTCATCTATTTCCATGTTGCACATGTGATGAACAAAATCAGCAAGGATATATTTGAATTATTCCAGTTTTCATGGATCTGCAGTATAGTTCCTAGAATTTGCCTGATCCATTCTATAAAAGCTTCCCTCTTTCCCTAACAGTGGGGTCCTTTATCACCCCGTGTTTTCCTTCAGCACTCACTCACCAGTAGCAATGATACTGGGTAGGGAAGTACAACTGGAAATCTTCAGCTGTGTGCATCACGTAGAGGAAACAACACCGCTCATCACACTTGGAGATGCTGTCAAGAAAAAATAGATGGGCATGAAGCACAGTCCCTTCTCATCTGCCCAGCCTTGAAACATGCCTCTGTTTGTGTCCCTCCATCCCATATTGTGTGGACCATCCCCAGGGTCTTTCTGATTAGAAGCTATAACCTTTCTCCCTGAGACACTAGCTTTCTATGTGCGGGGATGTTATTTTTCTTTTGGAATGGGAAAGTAATGGCTCATGAGCCCTCACCTGCAGGCTGGAGTAGCAGAACTGTACCAAGTCCACCATCCTTCCACACAAATTACACAGCAAGTTATCCCAAGCCTTCTTCATTTTAACAGCTTAATTTGTGCTCTGCCTGAGACCCCGAAGAGCTGCTGCCAGTCAGAACAGACTAGACAGACCTAAAGTCTGACTTGGCAAGTCAGTCCCCTGTAATACACACTAGCCTTGCATTACATGTAAGCCACTTGAAATGTTTGTGAAAAATCACCTGATTCCACGGATGGATGATATGGGGAATGTCCAAGTGGAAATTCCTTCCTGTGGAGAGAAGCCCAAAAGGTAAAGAAAACAAGAAAAAACATCCCCAGAAACCATGCCACTCGGAACTGTTTGTGAATCAAGGAACCGAATGCCTGCAAACTGAGCAAAATTCTGAACTCACCTCCTCCAAGGAGCCAATATGACTTAGTGTCACCGATTTGTTTCCTTCCTGGTTGCAGACTTTGAGCTGAGATGGCTGCAACACTCGGCCCAGCTCTAGAATCAAGACCTGGGAGGAGAGAGAGAGAGCAGGGATAGGCTTGCCATGGGGAAAGGGGGCTAATATCGAACCTCCATGTCCAGCAGCAGTGTACCTCTGGGTGCCCGCTGCTCGGAGGGCACCATAAGCAGAGGTGGGCCAATGGTTTATGGCTTGCTTTTGGGTGCTGTAAGCACCCAAGTGGCCACTGTAGGACGAAGCCTCACCGGCCTACACGGGCCACTCAGCTCTGACCCAGGAGGCCTTTCTATGGTCTTCAGCTGTGTTTATGTGCAAAAGCAGCCACGTCCCTCAGAGCACTGGTGCGCCTTCGGAATGATCTTTACACAGCAATTTTTTACATCACCATCATCCCATTGTATTTATATCATGCCTTTTCCCTCTTGTGAGGAACCCACGGAGCCCTTCAGAGGTCTCCTCCACTCCATTTTTATTCTCACAACAGCCCTGTGAGGTAGATCAGGCTGAGAGTCTGTGACTGGCCCAAAGTTACCCGGTGAGCTCCAGGGCTGAGTGGGGACTAGGACCTCAAGCTCCCAGGGCCCCCAACACTACCCTGTCTCTCTCTTTATATACCTTCTTTTTTTGCATTTATTATGATATTTTTAGCATTCGTTTGTAAGCCACTCAGAGATCAGTTTTAAAAATGGCAAGCAGTTATGCTTTTGCTGCTGCTGTAATCGCACAAAGGAGCAAGACGGGGAGAGAGAGAAAGAGACAGCATGTGCTGCTGCACGGAACTTACGGGCCAGATTTCCTTGGGGTGACAGATGAGCCTCCCCAGCCAGGCAGAGAGACAGATGACTTCCTGGGAGGGGACCTTTCAATGGCGTCATCCCAGGTAAGGAAGCACACCTGGTGCCATCCCTGGAGAGTTTTGTTACCAGTGAAAACCTACCCATTTGAATCATTTCTGGAAAACCTCCCCATTTGAATCATTCATGGAAATCTGAGCCCCTCAATCAGATGTGGGTAGCATCAATGACTAACACCAGTCCCATTCATTTCAGTAGGCCTACTTTAAGTAGGACCGACACTAGATACTACCCCAGGTCTTTAATTTCTGGGTGCTGGGAATTTTGTTTTGCTGTCATACATTATGTTGCTTTGGATTATGTGATTTTGGGTTCCGTCTTGCATTGAAACTGGGTTTTGTTATGCTTGCTTCTTGAAGCCAGGAAGTGAGCCCTAAGGGGGAGCATATAAATGTCATAAATGAATAAGGAAGACAAACAGAGGCAAAGGGTAAAAGAGGCAGTCATGAGGACGTGTTTTCATGCACTTGTTTTGCTTAAGGTAAGGATGGGAAGCCTATGGCCCTTCAGAAGTTGTTGGACTCAAATTTCTATCAGTCACAGGCAGTGGTTGGGGTGATAGGTGTTGTAGCCTAACAACATCTGGGAAACTGAAGGTAGATGTAGAAGATAAAAGAAGTGACAATTAACACCTTGGCAACTCACAAGAGGTGGGACTAGAAAAGAGATCTGAAAGATCAAGCTCATCCATGCCATGTTCTTTTGACCTGTGGATTTATATTGGTATTTTTGTATTTTTAACTTAATGTTTATATTTTTAATTTAATGTGATAATTATTTTTTAACTTATTGTTGCAAGCCGCCCCGAGGCTTCGGCAAATGGGGCGGCATAAACATGTTTTAATAAATAAATGTATGTATGTATGTAGACCTTTTTATTTAAACATCATTTTAATTGTTAAAATATATGATCTGGCCAGGACAACTTCTTCTTCCTTCTCTTTTCTCCTCCTATATTATTTATTTACTTATTTTATACTGGTAATTTTAATTTTATATTATTATGTTTGTAACTCAATGTATTTTTTGTATTTTTGTATTTAATGGTAATTTATTATGTTCTATTGTATTTCAATGTATTTTATTGTGTTG